CAGTGCTGTGGATTAAAAATTATAAAGATTGGGTGACAGTTTTGTGAGAAAGGGATAAGAATTTAGAAAGAGGGGATATTTTTTACTGGCTGAAGAATCAGTTAGACATTCTCTTAGAAGAAAGGGTTTAGGTCTTGGTTTGGGTTTCTGAAACCTCTGACTGGGAAGGCAGAACCTGGAGACATTCAGAACATGAAAATGAGAGAGGTTAAATTTGACCTTAAGTAAGTCAGAACCTCCGAGGCTGAGGGATAGGAAGAAAGATTGCCCTCATACAGTATAAAAAATACCTACTACGCAAGAAATGTGAGGCTAACAGTACTAGGTCCAAGACAGGTATAGTTGAGCAAGAAGGAACAGAGGGGCGTGAGACCTGATAGACTCCTCCCTTGGGAGGAGCTACAGGTTGGGGCCTCATCCACCTTTGTGGTGTGGTCTGAGTCCACACATGGACACTTCCTCCTGTTCCTCACCACTGCAGCTCACTAGCTTAGGTTAGGTTTGTCCACATTCTGAAGACACACATCTCTCTCTGGAAGCACTTGTACCAAATTAGCCCAGCTTAATGGGTTCTCAAGACTGCCTGAACACATTTCAATGTGCCACAGGGATCTGCAGCTCCTGCAAAGATCTCACCTGCTTTTTTGCTTGATCTGGATTGTTTTGTTTTTATGACATCCTGGTTTGGGTGTGTTCATAGAGTAGGGCTGGATAAAAAGGATAATTGACAATACAATGGAACATAATGGACTTGCCATTTGGACTTGGCTAAAAGTCCAATTGGCTTTTTAGTCCAATTGGCTAAAAAGTTACTTTATGGAGAGTAAGAATGGCCTGTGTAATTTATCCTTTTGGAATGCCTTCTGGTTTTTTGTCCTGTGTCTGCACTGAATTTCCATATTCTAGGGCCATAAAAGTAAAATGCAGATGAAGGCATTTTACTGACAGTATATGTCTCTGAAAGATCTGGGCGAAATGGGATCTTGCTATTACATCTTTTACCAATACTTTAAAACACAACATTGATACATCTTATTTACATTTTTGTCAAACTTATTAAAATATTTGTTCAGTCATTAATTTATTTCATATTAATACTTTAAAACACAACATTGATACATCCACATTTTTGTGAAACTTATTAATGTATTGATTCAGTCATTAATTTATTTCATATTAATACTATTCTGAATGAGGTACACTCACGGTCCAAAGATGAGTTAAGACATGGGAACTTACAGGACCTCCCCGGTGGCGCAGCGGTTGAGCGCTGGGTTGCGAGGCTGCCCGCGGCCTCTGCAGCGCCGGTTCGATCCCTGGCTGCTCCCCGGCCACCGGAGGAGGGTCCCACATGGCGCGCAGACCTCTCCTGCCGCCCACTGCTCCCCTCAGCAGTGTCCTTCGGTCCTTCTGCCTGCTCTGCTCCCCGGTCTGGCTCTGGTGAATTCTCTCGCCCTCCCGTGCTTCTGACTGTACCCAGTGCATGTATAAACAAAACAAACAAACAAACAAACAAAACAAACAAATAAATAAATAAAACATGCCTCTAAAAAAAAAAAAAAGACATGGGAACTTACAGGCAGCAGTTTCAACGATGATGACCATGTACTATTGAAGGAGTAGTAGAAGTAGAAGAAGAGAAAAAAATTCCTATTAGAGTTCAGAGAAGGAATATGTTATTTTCACTGTGTAGGAATTAGAAGCGACTGATAAGAGAAGAATTCATAAAAAAGTGACCTTAAGATGTAATAATCACCCAACACCCAGTAAGATGGCTACCATTAAAAAAATTATGCCCAGAAAATAGCAAATGTGAGCAAAGTCTTAGAGAAATTGGAACCCTTGTGAACTGTTGGTGGGAATGTAAAATTGGTCAGCTGCTATGGAAAAGTCTGGCAGCTACTGAAAACATAGAAAAGAGAAAATTACCATCAGCTCCAATAGTCCCACTTCTGAGTATATATACAAAAGAATTAAAACCAGAGTCTAACAGAAATATTTGCCTACCCAGGTTGTTAGTAGCATTATTTACAGTGATCAAAAATGGAGGCCACAGAAGCATTCATCAGTGGATGAATAGAGACACCAAATGTGGCATATACGAACAAAGGAAAATTACTTAGCTGCAAAAAGGAAGGAAGTTCTGTCTCATGCTATAACATGGATGCATCTTGAGAACATCGTGCTGGGTGGAATACACCTGTCACAGAGAGACACATGCTTTGTGATTCCAGTTCTATGAAGTATTTGGCGTAATCTGACGAGGTAGGCTGGAAGAGGGGCAGAGGTTAGAAGTTGTTTAATGGGTGTAGGATTTTTTGAGATGAGAAAAGGTTCTGAAGACTGGGTATACACGAACATGAATGTACTTAACATTACCCACTGTAACCTTAAAAATGACTGAGATAATGAAGTTTAGTTTATCTTAGCATGTTTTAAAAAATGCAGAATACTTATTATGTAAACTAGGTAGCAGATACTTGGCACTTTGGAACTTTTGCTAGTGCATATCCTGTACATTCATTTATTCAACCAACATGGGTTGAAGTTGCCGGGCACTGAGCTAGAAACTGGGGAAGCCATACTTAATAAAGTTTATAAGACACCGACTCTGTCAATCTCTTGCTTGCTAACTACCCCCTCCTGCTCAAAGGCACTGAACTTCTTTAGTTAAATATTTACAACTGCCTCTTACTGCCTTGAGCCATGCATAAGACTTCAGTAAACAACCAATATAGAGATTTGATCTGGAGGGACGGACGGGAATTGGACAGCTTAGTGATGAAATGGAACGAGGTGGCTAGCAGACTAGGAACTAGAATAAAAACTGTGGACTAGTGTTTTCTAAGGATATTAAAACATAAAGAACTCCTATTTGGGCTGTCAGCCTGGAGCTAGGTTGTTTAGAATGGAAAGGCTGGCCATGTCAGGCACGCTCACCCCATATTGTGGCGTTTCATGACTGTTATGGCAAGTGTAGTGTGAGAACTGCTCATGAGGGAGAAGGGTGGGATGGGTTATCAAATTTGAGCTGAAAGGAAAGGTAGGGTTTGGAGTGGGGAATGGAAGCAGGAACCATGAACTTCCTTAACCAAGAGATCTGTTCTCTTCAGATCACTTTATCTCATCCTAGGTGTTTTTCCCCCTTGTTGGGGATCCCACAGGAATCTTCACTCCATCTATCCTTCCAGTATCTTTCTACTTCTCTTACCTGTGGCCTCACATCCTGGAATCTTCTATTCTTTCATCTAAATATATTACTGAGTGCCAACTCTTGATCTATATGGAACACTGTGTTATATATTCTGGCATATACCTCATTTGTCTTCTAACATTTTTATTAGGTTTTCTGCCCCTACACGTCCTGGCTCAGTGTGAGTTTTGATACCTGGTTAGAGGAGGGATGCAGACCTAGTGGGATTTACTTGCCGTCCCTCTTTTTTCTTCAAGCTGTCCTCATTCAGGCTGTTCCTTCTTCTGTGTCTTTAACCCCAGCTATACTTTCCTTGACTTCTTTTCCCCTTCTGTGTCCTCCTGCTCAACTGGTCCATTTCCTCAAGTTTTCAAATTCTTCCTCAGGTCTCTTCCATTCTGCAAATCCATTTTGTCTTTATATTCTTTAGCAACACACTCTCTCTTTCTCTTTATATTCTCATCCAAGTTTGCGAAGGATGGCCTTCACGCCTCTTCATTTCCCTGCATCCCCTCCCCTTTTCCATCTGCTGGATGATGGCGTATGCCTATGACCCGTATGAGGCTCCCTGGTACATGTGCACTCTGTCAGGTCCGCCTCCCTTGCTCAGTCCTAGGTTGGCTGGTCTTCTCTGCCCCAGGTGGCACTGTTGATCACTCGCTCCTTAAAACTCTTTAATGCCTTCTAAATTCCTGCTATGAGTGAGACCATCCGGTATTTTTCTTTTTCTTTCTGGCTTATTTCACTGAGCATGATCCCTTCCAGCGCCATCCATGTTACTGCAAATGGCATGAGTTTATCTTTTTTGAAAACCTAAATAAGGGACCAGAAAAAAACCTAGTTATAATAAAGTAAAAATCAAAATCAAAGAAGCAACTATAAACCAGAGACACACTAGGGGCGGGGGCAGGAGAGAGTAGGCTCAAAACAAGGGTGGTGGAATTGTATGGGGACTATAACCAGGAGGAAAATGCATACATTGTGCAAAAATGAAAAATGATGTAAAAAAATGTATAAAATTTAAAAAAAGCAAACAAAAAACTCTTTGCTGCCTTAAGACTTTGGACCTCTCCATTTCTTTGGTTCTCCCAGGACTTTCTGACTATTAATTCTCAGTCTTCTTTCTGGGATACATTCCTCCATGGCATTTGTAGAGACTGTTGTAATCATTTGTGCTGTTCTGCACTTCTCATTCACATGTTCTTAAAGAGGAGTATTGAGTTGTGTCCTCAAATTGTGGTCACATTATCAAGACCCATATCCAGTGTTACCTGGTAACAACGGCAGGACAATTTGCATCGTTATCTTTCTACACATAATCTACATTGTTCATTGGTTCCTTTGCGCTTCAAATGTTCCAGCTGTGTTAGTCTTTGTCTCTCTTTCCCAAAGACCCGCAGTGTGGTCCAGAATTGGAACGAGCATTGGCCTCTAATGGTTCCGAGTTAATTGTGTGTGCTGAAAAAAAAAAAATGAATGAGTCTATTAGAAACAAGCTAATTTCATTTTGTCATTTTGTGGATAATATATTCTGGTGTAGGAAGTCCATGTTTTAAGCAAGTTTGCAATAAACAATTTCCCCTCAAGGTTAATATAATAGGCAAACACCTTTTGCTGCAACAGACGGCAAAAGGTAATGAAAGATTAGCTTATATTATGATTCATTCTTTCAAAATGTCAGAATAAAGTGGATCCGCTGCTGCATCTCCCAAGCCTCTTATTCTTTAGAGGAGAGTGCATGCTTTGCTTTGCTAATGTTAATGGATTCACTGGTTTCTTTTCTTTCTCTTTTTTTTTTTTTTTCCAGGCCCAATTCAGATAATCGGCGCCAGGGTAGCAGAGAGAGATTGGCCAGCACGGGAGACAAGGGAAGCTTGGCCATGGATTCTGCTAAGGAGACTCGCTACTGTGCAGTTTGCAATGATTATGCCTCAGGCTACCATTACGGAGTCTGGTCCTGTGAGGGCTGTAAGGCCTTTTTCAAGAGAAGTATTCAAGGTAATAGTGTGTTGAAAACGATTTGTTACTTTATTGATCTCTGCAGGAGAGGCAATGGAAGAAGAAGGCATATGATCAGCCATTTGTACAAAACGCTAAAACCTAATAGGTCCACTAGTGTTCTTTGGTAGAAACATGTAGAAGAGACAGGATCTCAGGAGAAGACCAGGGTAGCTGGTATTCTGCTTCCTCCATTTGATAAGACCCAAAGAATCTTGAATTACAGGAGGGCGATTTCAATAGCTGGTCTCTGTGGCAACAGAAATGTGTGTGTTCTGATTGGGGATGGTAGGTGGCTATTTATGTGATGCTGGCAACTAGGCATATATGGTGTGATATGAATTGTCCATACCTAATTACCTCTGCATCTTGGTTTTGTCCAAACAAATATTCTGTTCTGATCTTTGCTCAGACCGACCAACTCCATTTTAACTTGTTCTTCTCTTGCTCCTCTTCCATCTCCTTGTTAATAGATGACATGACCTTTTGCTAAAAATGAGAAGATTCAGTGGCTGGTGACTTGTGATAGGGAATATAGTCTGTACCAAGCAACTATTAAATATCTGCCTGTAATATTTCATCTGCCTTGATCTCTTTCCTCTATAGGAACAGTTTCTCTGCTAGTCTGGTAGGTACATTTTATTTCTATTCCAGAAGTGTTTACATTTTTGCATTATGTAGGATAACTTGAAGGAAGCATCAATTATTTTTACTATCTGTTTTTACTACCTAAACCGTCTATGTTTAAGATCCTTTGTCTGAGGAGAACAGAGTTCTGATGGCAGTGTAGGCTAACTGAATTAATTTTTTTGTCTTAATAATGGAAATTTTTCCTCTGTTCTTATTCCTTTACCTTTTCAACTTAAGCAAATTTAATCATTAAATATTAAAATATTTCTGACAGATGATTCCCTCTATGGAAACAGAGATGCAAGTAACTTGCTGAAAATCAGACTCTGTCAAATTAATAGAAATGGATATAAGAAGTGATTGTCAGAGGCTTGCTGCTGTATCTCTTCACTGCTGTGACCTGGGATGAAAGCAGGGGGTTGATACTCATGATTTCTTTTTCCTTCCAGTGGGATGAATGTTCTTTTCAAAAAGGTGGTGTGTATCTTCATAGAGTAGCATATAATGACAACTTGGTCTATTTGAAAAGCATTTTCTTTGACCATTATTACTTTTGACATCTATTAGAAATCTACTAGGATTTTTCATTGGAATTTGAATAAAATTTATGATATCCTCTGATAGAAAATGTACACAGATATGTGCACATATGTAACATACACATATATTTTTATATAATTCAGCATAGATTATTTAACTTTATTAGCTGATAATATCTTAATTTAGAAAAGTGATCTTTGTGTTTTGGTTTAAGTTATTATAAGCCCATAAAGGTCTTTCAACAACCATCTTCCTTTGTGATTGTACAGGTTGTTTGATTTTATAAAATTTAAAATACTGTTATTTTCACGAAGCATTTAATTTGACATGGAAAGATCATCTGGCAGAGGTAGGTTTAGTGGCTAGGTACAACTACATACTTGGACAAATCATTTATCCTAGACTGAGTGAAAACTGATTTATTGATCTAGAGCAGTGACTAGCAAAGTTTTTCTGTAAAGACCTAGTTAGTAACTATTTTAGCTTCTGTGGGCCATACTGGCTGTTGCAGCCACTCAGTTCTGGAAGGGTGACCTGAAAGGAACCATGAAGAACATGTGAATAAGTTGTGTGCCTATAGAGCTTTATTTTTTTATATTTATTTATTTATTTATTTATTTATTCATTCATTCATTCATTCATACAAGAACCAGGATGTAGGCCAGAGGTATGGGGAATGAGAGGACCTACCAGAGACAGTGGGGAGCAGAACAGGCAGACCTACTGAAATAGACAGACTGCTGAGGGGAGCAGCAGGTGAGACAGGAGAGGTCGGCTGAGCCATATGTGGGTCAGCTCCCTGGCTGGGGATTGAACGCATGACTCATGCCGTAGAGGCTGGCGACAGCCTGACAGCACCGAGTCCTAACCCCTGCGCCACCAGGGAGGCCCACCTATCGAACTTTATATACAAAAAACAGGCAGCTGACCAGAACTGGCCTGAGGGTCATCATTTGCCGTACCTTAGTTTAAATTGTAGAAAGGGAATGATGGTTTGGTTTCTAAATAAAGTTTTGATTGCTCATTTTTATGGAGATCTTAGTACCTATAATAGATGTTCTGAGGGAAATGAAAGTATGTAAGACAGTCCATGATCCCACAAAATTTAGAATTTATTTGGGAAGGCAAAGTTGTTAGTTGTCATGATAGGATTAGAGAGAAAATTAGTATTGATAAATTGCTACTTTGTGATACAGATAAAGAACATAATTGATGACTACAAGAAAAGAAATACTGTCAGTTATAAGTGTAAAATTACTGGGTTTGAAGGGAGAACTGACCTTTTTCCAAGGGACAATAGCAATATTCTCACAAGTTATTTTTGTCATGTTTGTTTAGCATTGGGGAATGCACTACATAACTTCTCATCAAACTTAGTATTGTTTCTAAGCCTTTCAGCATCAGAATAGAAAACAAAGAAAAACAGAAAATACACTTATAGAGAAAATCAGTGAAGGAAATAAGAGCTTATAAAGACAAATATTGTTACAGGTATACCATTATCTCAAATATTAAAAAATTCTGCATTCTCTTTGCTAGTTAAAATGTACATCTTATTTTCATCTTGTATACATAGACTAAATAGTAGGATTTCATTGTATATACATTATGCCATCTGAAATGGTGCTATAGAAATTGCATAAAAATATAATTGCTACCCGATTGCAGAAATTTCTTATCATGATGTGAAGTCATTTTATAGGTTTCCCAATTAGGTGAATTTTGAGTTCAAAGTTCTGAAAGAGGTAGAATTGTTAACTTTTTATTTATTTATTTATTTATTTAAGAAGTGGGGTGCAAGCCACAGGGTGGGGGCAGGTGAGAGGATTCTCCAGAGACAGAGTGGGGACCAGAATAGGTGGATCCACTGAAATACACTTCTGAGGGGAGCAGTGGGACAGGAGACAGGAGACAGGAAATGTCTGCTGTGCCGTGTGGGTCATCTCAGGCTATAGAGGTGACAGAGCTGAGACTTAACCCCTAGACCACCAGGTAGGTCCCTGTTTATGATTTGATTTAAGAAAAATGTTAAAGAAATTTTGTTCCACTCAACCATAGAAATTCTAGTTGCTTTGGGCAGCAGCATATGTATTTATGATATTAAAATTATTATTTTAGGGCCTCCCCTGGTGGTGCAGGCCGTTGAGTGCCACTCTGTGAAGCTGTCTGCAGCCTCTGCAGTGCCGGTTCGATCCCCGCCGGCCGGCCAGAGTCCCACATGGTGAGGCAGACCTCTCCTGTCTTGCCTGCTGCTCCCCTCAGCAGTGTATTTCGTCAGTCTGCCTGTTCCGCTCCCTGCTCTGTCTGGTGAATCCTCTCATCCTCCTGCGCATTTGGCTTATACCCCGGTTCTTGTGTAAATGAATAAATAAATCTTAAAAAAGAGAAAGTTATTATTTTACTCATCACATTATAAATATTTAATTTATGTAAAATTTCCTCCATGTTACTGCAGTGGTGATAAGGGTGAGATTTAACTCCTACACCACCAGGGAGGCCCCAGAATTGTTAACTTTTAGATTATAGGAAGGCTTACTAAAAATTAAGTTCACTAATTCCTTCATTTATTCATTGGTTGCCTTTTCTAGAGAAAGCACTGTGACAGGTCCTGGAGAAACAATTATAGGTAAGATGAGCTCATCCCCCTCATAAAGCCTATAAAGTAGTGGGAGAGATGGACAAATTAAGTTACAGTGTGACAAGTGCCAGATTGAGGGTTAGTTCAGGGCTTACAGGAGAACAACTTCACTCATTCCTAGAGGCGAGTCAGGCTCTCAGTGAAGATTTTCTGGTTTACAATTAAATTTGGAGGCCAAACCAAGTGAACGAAATGAAGGGAGATGGATGAGTATTCAGTCTTAGGGATGGGCACGTGAGCAGAGACCCGTGGATAAGCTAGAGTTTCAGAGAGAGCTGTAAGGGAAATTAAACAAGGACATTCTTGGACCATATATTTGCTCTTAGACCATGTTAAAACAAAATAATCTATTTCCATTTTACTTTAATAGCACTTCCACAGATCTGATTTCTTTGTACATACAAAAGAGAAATACCAGAGCAAGTTTAATGGTTTCTAGTCCCATTTTCTCATCATAGCCTTGATAACTGTAACTAAAAAGTTTTACTGAACTTGTGTGGCTCTTTATAAATCATGTTGCCCCTCAAACCTATTTAAGGACAGTGAAGGGTCTCCCATGTAGGTAGGTAGAAAGTTCTGAAGATGCTGTAGCTCTCCTTGTTTTTCTTGTTACTTAAGAAGAGAGCTAGGATTGAGTACCCATCATATTACTCTAGTGCTCTAAGTGTTTTAGTTGAAGAGGTAAAGTGTTTCTCTTGAAAGTGTACAAATTTTCATCCACTACTTAGTGTATAAACTTGATTACTCAAGCAATTGAGTAACAGCCTCCAGTTGAACATACTTTTTAGAAAAGTAAAGTCAAGGACACTATTTAAGAGAGGGGTGAATTTGTATATTCAATGAATTTATTAATCATTGCAGCATTTCTTAAGATGTGTTGCAGGTGAAGACTTTTGAATGAGTTATATGAGCAGATTGGGTTATAGGTTCAGGTGCTGCCTTTGAATATTATTCCAAGGAGAAAGGACTTCACTGAGCTCACTGTTTCTTATATTATTATTTTAAATGATCAGGAGGCACAAGGCTATCTGCACATCATTAGCTTTGTTGTCATTTTATATTCTGTCTGTAAAATGTATACAAAAGATACTTAATGTTAGATAAAACAGACATGACCTAGAAGGTTTTGGCTTAAAGGTTAGCTAAGACCAGGAGGACATGGTATTGGGATAGAGTCTGGTTATGTTTCTACACGGTG